AGATTATTTTAGTATCACTGAGACATGGTTATCTCAGGGTGACAGCAGTCCTCTTGTTGAAGCAACCCTTCCTCATCTTACACACCTCCATCAACTCTGACTGCACTCCTGTCTAACTTATTTATTCTAATTTGACATCATTTGAACATTTTGGTTTTATGGTAACCTCTAAAGACACAGTGATGATTTTAATCATCTAATAATCTAATTAAGACTAAACAATGTTTTTATCCAAGAGTTTGCTTATTAGTCACTAAATGTAGTTAACCTGTTAACTTAGGTTTGGGAGCAGAACCACGCCTCAACCACACCTCTAATCACCTGCCAAGCCTACTTATGCTGGGCCAACCCATCCTACCCTGTTTGTCTCAAGATTTCTCGAGCTCAGACTGATCGCGCGTCTCGCCTAAACGCTTCATAGAGAAAACTTTTATTCAAAAAAAAAAAAAAAAAAAAAAATGTAAAGATTGTCTAATGTTACCTACCATGGATCCGGTGTTATGCCGAGATCTGCATGCCTGCCGAGAATTGCATGCACCTTGCGGGAGCGAGCATGCACAGCCGAAAGGAAAGCTACCGTCTTGATTTTTAAGGAAACTTACTGTTTAAAAACGAAATAATCTTCTTTGTCAGGTTTATCAGTGATGATCATTGATCTGAAGTCTAGTTTTTTAACGTTTAGTGTCATCAATGTTTTATTAGAATTGGCAAAGTAGTGTTTCCTCGATTGGTCTGAGTCTGCTTGATTAATCTCTCATTCTTAATGCCAACTCTTCACTATTTTGTGTGTGGCTGCGTTTTTAAGCATGGGATTTCAGATAGTTCTATGAAAACAAGGTTTTTAAATGCGGAAAATTAATGTAGGGAGTCATTCGCACTGTCACGGCCCATCAAATCCTACGCTACGTGCTGATAAAGCCATGATGGTGTTACTATCATGGCAGACCCCCGCGGTCTGAGTCGGAGTTGGAGAGATCTCGTTGGCGGAGCTTGAATGGAGACGCCAGGACTGAGGTACGCTGATCACTGAACACCAGATTATTTCGTTTTTAAACAGTAAGTTTCCTTAAAAATCAAGACGGTAGCTTTCCTTTTGGCTGTGCGCGCCAGCTCCCGCGAGATGCATGCAATTCTCGGCAGGCATGCAGATCTCGGCATAACACCGGTACTGCAGAATCTTCCCGACTGATTCAGACGGCGATCCGTTCGACGATCTGTTCGACACCGGTCCACCAGACTCGCAGCAGCAACCAGACTGCAGCCAAACACGCCGGCGTGGTCGTCTGCGTTCAGTGATCAGCGTACCTCAGTCCTGGCGTCTCCATTCAAGCTCCGCCAACGAGATCTCTCCAACTCCGACTCAGACCGCGGGGGTCTGCAGATCTCGGGCCTCCTCTCCTCCTTCAGCGAGGACCAGACACCGCGGGCACGGGCGTAGGAGCCAGCTCCAACCCTCTCCTCATCGGCAGCTGACCCCATCGCCTAGGCTTCCAGCTCCCGGCTCTTCACCACGGTGCACCCGCGGTGCGCCCTCATCTGCGAGTCGGCAGTCTCCGCGTCCTCAAACTGAGCCCAATATCAGAGACTGGACCGTCACTCGCCTCCAATGTTTCCTGCGGAGGGAGGGCATCCCATTTCACCGCAACGCCAACAAAGCCACACTTTTTCGACTGTATTCAGCCTCTATCAACGCAGCAACAGACTCCATACCTCCTGCTCTTCCGGCTTCCTCACCCGTGTCCCCAACTGCCGGTGTCATCAGGGCGTCCCAGGGCCGTCGCTGCCTCAGCCACAGCCTGCATCATCAGCCCCCTCTGGTGGGGGCCAGGTTGTATGTCCCCCTGTGCCTGCTCCCTCTGTTTCTGAATTCTCTCAGATGATTTCAGCTTCCTTTTCACCCCTGTCTTCGCAGGCTTCACAAAATCCCTGTGCACACACATCCTTTCACCCCATCATCCCTTCCTCTACCCTTCCTTCAGCCGTTCCCAGCAACACGGCTTCTGCTCCTCTTTTTTCTGTAATAGCCAACGCAGCAGCAGGAGAGCTTCAGTCAGCAACTCAAGGGGTCCCACCACAGGCTAACCAACTCGGTGATCTCCAGCCTCCTCCTTCACTTCCAACTGGTCTATCCTTTCCCCCTCCCCTCCCCATCCCCACCCCATCCCTTCCCCAACACCCAAATGTATTTTCTCATTGTACTGGCAATTTCACCCTCGCCACAGCAGCACCACCTGTCCAGCCAGCCTCATCCGTTTATCGCCCTTCTCCTGTCTCTCCTGCAATACGCCAACAGATTCTCACTGGTAATTACGTAGATTTAGCCCAGCTTCATAAGCCATCAGTCATCGACACTAATCAGCTCAGGGAAGTGCAGACAAACTTCGGCTCCGTGCAACTCCGCCACTCACTACCCTCACAGTCTAAAGACGTAACCCCTACAGAATTTGCCTTCGCTTTTTCTCTCTACCGCGACGTTATCTGTTCTGCATTTCCCACACGGAGAGCAGAGCTGGATGATTATTTATCTATCGTGCTCGACATGGCCCTACATTTTGGAGGGACAGGGTTTTACAGTTACCATGCGCACTTCGCTAACCAAGCAGCTGGCTGCATACAGCAATTTAACCAGGGAACGTACTGGGGCACCCTCAACTCCTAACTCTACTGCCGCATATTTGCAGCCCGCACGTCCCTCTCCTGCGAGCTATGTGGAGCCCCTTCTCACCCTGCCACAGCATGCACTGTCACTGCTCCACTACCTTGCTCACGTCCATCTTCCTCACGCAACACCACAGTCTTTAACCGCCTGTCACCTGCCGCACCCCCACCTCCCATCATTCCTAGGCCCGCTAACATACGTCCTTCGGTCAATGTACCCATGCCAAAGGGGGCCGATCCTCTACCAGGGTGGCAGGATGGTGTGCAACAATTTCAACCACCTGGGCTGCGCTCTTCCCAACTGCCGCCTCCTGCATGTCTGTTCCTTCTGCGGCGGTGCACATGCCAGGAGCACCTGCCCCCACAATCCAACCACAGCTGCAGACCAACTTGTACAGCACCTCGGCACCCCCGTTCAGGTAAACATCCTTGCCACTGCTCTACAAAGCCATCCCGATAGACAGCTTGTTCATTTTCTCATAGATGGCTTCACACATGGTTTTCATCCCAGTATGGCAGTTCTCCCTGACATTTCCCACGTCTGTCACAACCTCCAGTCTGCTCTTGCAGAACCTCACACTGTCGACACCCTGTTGGCTAAAGAGGTCAAAGAAGGATTCATGATAGGCCCGTTCAATATTCCTCCTTTTCCACTGTTCCGCATCAGCCCAATAGGTGTTGCCACTCGCAAATACTCCAGAAAAAAGAGGCTAACTATGGACCTGTCTTCCCCACACGGCTCACACATTCCAAGCATCAACAGCGTCATTCCCAGTCCGGATTTATCCATGCAATACGCAACCATCGACCATGCCATCACCCTCATCGGCTAGCAAGACGTGGAGCTTGGCTTTCTAAAGCAGACATCACCAGCGCATTCAGTTTTGCCCATTCATCCTGACTTCTGGCGTTTTTTCGGCGTTTGCCGGAAAGGGGCATATTATTTTTCTGTGCGCCTTACCTTTGGCTGCAAAACCAGTTCTAAGATCTTCGATTCTCTTTCAGAAGCCCTATGCTGGATCCTTACTAACAACCACAGGCTCCCTTACATTCTCCATCTTCTCGACGATTTTCTTGTCGTCACTCCACCATCCTCACCTCCTCGCCACGGGCTCAATATGCTCACTAACTCGGCTTCCCTCTTTCCGAGGAGAAAATATCAGTACCGGGCACTTCCATTGAGTTCCTTGGCATCACCCTGGACTCAATTTCCTTCCAAGCATCTCTGCCCTTGGAGAAAATACAGCGCATCTCTCTGCTTCTGTCAAACTACCTCCTAGCAGACAGATGCACCAAACACCAGCTGTTAGCCCTCCTTGGCCATCTCAATTATGCCATCCGCATAATCCCTCAAGCTAAATCTTTCTTGTCCATCCTTTTGTCTAAGGCTGCTGCCATTCCCTCTCTCCACGATAGGGTCATTCTGGACGATGCCTGCAAAATGGAAATGCGCATGTGGCTACATTTCCTATCTTCTTGGAATGGCATTTCCTTCTTCTACGACGACTTCATCACAGAGCCTGAGAACATTCAACTTTTCATAGACGCAGCTCCCTCCACAGGTTTCGGCAGCTACTATGGAGGGAGATGGTTCGACTTGCTGACTCATTGTCTTGCTTCTCGTTCCAGAAATTCAGACGCTTGGCCCCAGAATCGAATCTTCACCCAACACCTATCCCACCGTCTTCCGCCACAATATAGCTCCACAGCTGTCAAACCTCTCTCATGCTTCACAAGAAGCCATCCTTAACAGTCTTGCCCCAAGCACACTCTCAGCCTACCTAACTGGCTGGAATTGCTTCAAGGCATTTCACTCCACCTACCAGCTGCCTTTTCCCTCTCTGGACGTCATGTCCATCTGCATTTCATCACCCATGCTTGTTCCATCCAAAAAATACGGTCCTCCACCATCCAGACCGACTTAGCAGGAATCAACTTCTTCATCAAACTAGTCACTGGCTTCCATTGTCCTTCAACCTACCATTCTCACGTTACTATGTTAATAAAAGGCCTGCATAAACAGGAACCGGCTCTCCCAGCTAGGTGCTTGCCACTCACTTCAGACCTTCTCAGCCTCTGCATTCGCACCCTTCGTTCAGGCTACATATCTCCTACGGTTGACCTAACCCTAGAATCCATGTTTCTGCTGGCTTTTTTCAGATTCCTGAGGTGCTCTGATTTTGCCCCGACTTCATCCGTCTATAATCCTTCTCATCACCCCAGTCTATCTGACATAACGATACACTCATATTCACTCTCCGAAGGAGCAAAACAGATCAGTTGGGAGTTTCTTTCCCTATCTACCTATTCCGCCTCAAATCCTACCTCAGCCCATACGAGCCACTGACCAAATACATCAGCTCCAGGTATGCTGCTAAGGTATCACCTCAACACCCACTCTTTCTCACCGAAACAGGAAAAATGGCCAATCGATTCTGGTTCCAGAAACACTTACACCAAGTCCTACGCATTTCAGGCATATCTCTAGAACTCTATTCTAGCCACTCCGGCGCAGCATCCACAGTAGCCAGACTAGGCATCTCAGACCGAACCATTCAGGTCCTAGGCCGCTGGTCATCCCAAGCATATCGCTCCTACATCCGCAACAATCTTAACGATCTGCGTCGAGGTCACGTTCAAATCAGTTCAATTTAAATCTGACTCTTTTGGGGGCCAGTGATCAGCTCGGGTGGATATATATGCCTGAGACGGAACCCCCACACTGAGTCTCCCACCGCCCGGTCTTCAATACATCCTCCCAGACCAGCCTAACAGATAACATCTTCCCTCTACCTCACCCTCATCTATTCATCTATTCTCAACATTCAGTAACTCCCGTCATCATTAAACCTTTAAACGACATATTGTTGTGGCGTGGTTCTTGCTAGTGAAATGGTTAAAGATCCATCCTGTCTCCTGTCTTGTGAGTTCGACACCCCAGGGTGAGTGTTATCCTAAATATTCCTCAAACACTTCCTCCTGTTTTTCAGGCTCTACTCACCTCTTGACATTTCTAAACTTTATTGTGCACCATGTCAATAAATGTATTTCTCTCTTAAATGGAGTCTCTCCTGACTGAACTGACTTTAGTGTCTGTCAGTCCAGATACAAGTGACAGAAAAGATGAATGTGACTGTGCTGAAAAAGTTTTAGTCATGTCCACAGATTCATCTAAATATTTAAGACTGTGTGTGAAACAATGTAAATGAGGTTAACAGATTAGACTCACAGGTCGTTCAAAAGTTTGTTGAAATCTTCATCAGCTGACATGTCAGAGTCAATGCCCACCCATCTACAAGTGAGATAATCAGAGTTATGATGCTACTTTACGAGGATAAAAATAAACATTAAAAGCAACATAATTCAAACATGATAACAGTGTGTGGAATGATGCAAAAGGTGTTATGCATGACTTCATTATTATTAGATCATTACCAGACACAAAGATTATTATGAAGGTGCAAAGGCCCAAATATTTGCAGTCAGTTTGATCTTCCAGAACAGGAAGTTGATTTTACTGACTTTAACGTCTGGAGTGTGGGTACACATGAAATGAAATTCATGTGAATATATACCCAGAGGAAGGGAAAACTCAAAATAAGATCTTTGTCCAACCTATTTCTCCCAGACGTAACTGAGCTCAGTTTAAGATCAATATGAGATTGTGACCATTTTTCATACTTCTTTAATTCAGCTCCTGAGAAATAACCTTCCTCTTGTCTCCCCAGAGGAAAATGTGCTGCTCACCACAATGTTTTCTTTGTCTTATCAGACATAACTCATCTTCTTATTTGGACATTACTACATTCTCATCTGTTTCTCATAACCCCTTATAGAATCAACAAGTAGTGTCAAAGTGCTCTGAGTGCTCAGACGACTAGAGAAGTGCTGTGCAAGTCCATCTGTTCTTTTGCTCCTTATTTCTCCTGGGAGGGATGTTTAGGAGAAACACATCAGAATGTAGGTTTATGTCTGATGAGACAAAGTAAAGACTGTGGTCAGCAGCCAATTATTTCCTCTGGGTATACATTAATAATATGCTTAGCTAAGAAAACAAGATCTTTAAACCTGAACTGCACTGAGGAACAGTAAACTTGTCTTCACAGGTCACGTAGCAACAGCAGCATGTTAGCTAACACGTGCTACAATTATAAAGTAACACAATAATGACTGACATCATCAGACTTGTGTGTGTGCAAAATATCAGTGAATGCAGTTACATTTTAATGATGATAAAAGCTTACCTGAGATGGGGTGGTAGGAGAAACAGTGGTTTTCTTTTTTTTTGTGATCAATTATTTATCGAATTTTTCCATAAAAAGAAATAAAAATTAAAAAAACCCATGAGATATGGCAGGCATTAAATAAACAAAGATAGTAGACAATGGAAGTATAATAAAATAGCAAAATGAAAAATAAGAAACAAACCCTCTCCCCATCCCATAAACCTCTAGGGGACCATTAGGCCAGTAGCTTTTACAAAATAATTCTAGGAACTCCATTGAGCATATTAACGTATACATATAGTGAATACATAACATACACAAACCCATACGTACCTTTCCATATAGAGCTGTGCTCTTCTGACAATGATCCTAGTAAACACGTAACAAAGAGCACCAGGGTGAGAAATTAGATTATTAGATAGATTATTTTAGTATCACTGAGACATGGTTATCTCAGGGTGACAGCAGTCCTCTTGTTGAAGCAACCCTTCCTCATCTTACATACCTCCATCAACTCTGACTGCACTCCTGTCTAACTTATTTATTCTAATTTGACATCATTTGAACATTTTGGTTTTATGGTAACCTCTAAAGACACAGTGATGATTTTAATCATCTAATAATCTAATTAAGACTAAACAATGTTTTTATCCAAGAGTTTGCTTATTAGTCACTAAATGTAGTTAACCTGTTAACTTAGGTTTGGGAGCAGAACCACGCCTCAACCACACCTCTAATCACCTGCCAAGCCTACTTATGCTGGGCCAACCCATCCTACCCTGTTTGTCTCAAGATTTCTCGAGCTCAGACTGATCGCGCGTCTCGCCTAAACGCTTCATAGAGAAAACTTTTATTCAAAAAAAAAAAAAAAAAAAAATGTAAAGATTGTCTAATGTTACCTACCATGGATCCGGTGTTATGCCGAGATCTGCATGCCTGCCGAGAATTGCATGCACCTTGCGGGAGCGAGCATGCACAGCCGAAAGGAAAGCTACCGTCTTGATTTTTAAGGAAACTTACTGTTTAAAAACGAAATAATCTTCTTTGTCAGGTTTATCAGTGATGATCATTGATCTGAAGTCTAGTTTTTTAACGTTTAGTGTCATCAATGTTTTATTAGAATTGGCAAAGTAGTGTTTCCTCGATTGGTCTGAGTCTGCTTGATTAATCTCTCATTCTTAATGCCAACTCTTCGCTATTTTGTGTGTGGCTGCGTTTTTAAGCATGGGATTTCAGATAGTTCTATGAAAACAAGGTTTTTAAATGCGGAAAATTAATGTAGGGAGTCATTCGCACTGTCACGGCCCATCAAATCCTACGCTACGTGCTGATAAAGCCATGATGGTGTTACTATCAAACTTTTGATAAATCCCCTGTTATTTATGCTTAGGTCATTATTAAATGCATTATTATTCTGTATATGCAGCAGCAATCAGTTCTGTCGAAAAATGCATGCACCCCTTAACACCCTCATGAAACTTCAAATCAGAAGTTTGATAGTAACACCATCATGGCTTTACCAGCACGTAGCGTAGGATTTGATGGGCCGTGACAGTGCGAATGACTCCCTACATTCATTTTCCGCATTTAAAAACCTTGTTTTCATAGAACTATCTGAAATCCCATGCTTAAAAACGCAGCCACACACAAAATAGTGAAGAGTTGGCATTAAGAATGAGAGATTAATCAAGCAGACTCAGACCAATCGAGGAAACACTACTTTGCCAATTCTAATAAAACATTGATGACGCTAAACGTTAAAAAACTAGACTTCAGATCAGTGATCATCACTGATGAACCTGGTAAAGAAGATTATTTCGTTTTTAAACAGTAAGTTTCCTTAAAAATCAAGACAGTAGCTTTCCTTTTGGCTGTGCGCGCCTGCTCCCGCGAGATGCATGCAATTCTCGGCAGGCATGCAGATCTCGGCATAACACCGGTACTGCAGAATCTTCCCGACTGATTCAGACGGCGATCCGTTCGACGATCTGTTCGACACCGGTCCACCAGACTCGCAGCAGCAACCAGACTGCAGCCAAACACGCCGGCGTGGTCGTCTGCGTTCAGTGATCAGCGTACCTCAGTCCTGGCGTCTCCATTCAAGCTCCGCCAACGAGATCTCTCCAACTCCGACTCAGACCGCGGGGGTCTGCAGATCTCGGGCCTCCTCTCCTCCTTCAGCGAGGACCAGACACCGCGGGCACGGGCGTAGGAGCCAGCTCCAACCCTCTCCTCATCGGCAGCTGACCCCATCGCCTAGGCTTCCAGCTCCCGGCTCTTCACCACGGTGCACCCGCGGTGCGCCCTCATCTGCGAGTCGGCAGTCTCCGCGTCCTCAAACTGAGCCCAATATCAGAGACTGGACCGTCACTCGCCTCCAATGTTTCCTGCGGAGGGAGGGCATCCCATTTCACCGCAACGCCAACAAAGCCACACTTTTTCGACTGTATTCAGCCTCTATCAACGCAGCAACAGACTCCATACCTCCTGCTCTTCCGGCTTCCTCACCCGTGTCCCCAACTGCCGGTGTCATCAGGGCGTCCCAGGGCCGTCGCTGCCTCAGCCACAGCCTGCATCATCAGCCCCCTCTGGTGGGGGCCAGGTTGTATGTCCCCCTGTGCCTGCTCCCTCTGTTTCTGAATTCTCTCAGATGATTTCAGCTTCCTTTTCACCCCTGTCTTCGCAGGCTTCACAAAATCCCTGTGCACACACATCCTTTCACCCCATCATCCCTTCCTCTACCCTTCCTTCAGCCGTTCCCAGCAACACGGCTTCTGCTCCTCTTTTTTCTGTAATAGCCAACGCAGCAGCAGGAGAGCTTCAGTCAGCAACTCAAGGGGTCCCACCACAGGCTAACCAACTCGGTGATCTCCAGCCTCCTCCTTCACTTCCAACTGGTCTATCCTTTCCCCCTCCCCTCCCCATCCCCACCCCATCCCTTCCCCAACACCCAAATGTATTTTCTCATTGTACTGGCAATTTCACCCTCGCCACAGCAGCACCACCTGTCCAGCCAGCCTCATCCGTTTATCGCCCTTCTCCTGTCTCTCCTGCAATACGCCAACAGATTCTCACTGGTAATTACGTAGATTTAGCCCAGCTTCATAAGCCATCAGTCATCGACACTAATCAGCTCAGGGAAGTGCAGACAAACTTCGGCTCCGTGCAACTCCGCCACTCACTACCCTCACAGTCTAAAGACGTAACCCCTACAGAATTTGCCTTCGCTTTTTCTCTCTACCGCGACGTTATCTGTTCTGCATTTCCCACACGGAGAGCAGAGCTGGATGATTATTTATCTATCGTGCTCGACATGGCCCTACATTTTGGAGGGACAGGGTTTTACAGTTACCATGCGCACTTCGCTAACCAAGCAGCTGGCTGCATACAGCAATTTAACCAGGGAACGTACTGGGGCACCCTCAACTCCTAACTCTACTGCCGCATATTTGCAGCCCGCACGTCCCTCTCCTGCGAGCTATGTGGAGCCCCTTCTCACCCTGCCACAGCATGCACTGTCACTGCTCCACTACCTTGCTCACGTCCATCTTCCTCACGCAACACCACAGTCTTTAACCGCCTGTCACCTGCCGCACCCCCACCTCCCATCATTCCTAGGCCCGCTAACATACGTCCTTCGGTCAATGTACCCATGCCAAAGGGGGCCGATCCTCTACCAGGGTGGCAGGATGGTGTGCAACAATTTCAACCACCTGGGCTGCGCTCTTCCCAACTGCCGCCTCCTGCATGTCTGTTCCTTCTGCGGCGGTGCACATGCCAGGAGCACCTGCCCCCACAATCCAACCACAGCTGCAGACCAACTTGTACAGCACCTCGGCACCCCCGTTCAGGTAAACATCCTTGCCACTGCTCTACAAAGCCATCCCGATAGACAGCTTGTTCATTTTCTCATAGATGGCTTCACACATGGTTTTCATCCCAGTA